ATCTTTCTTTTCATCTGAAAAATTGTCTTTCAGCTAACAGATGCGCATTTATTTTATTATTTAGCAATCACTTTTTTTCTGCGATGTTATTTTTAACAAAAGAAGAGCAGGAAGCGGATGATTTAAAAAATCAAAGGAAAGACCTAAGAATATACATTCTTAGTCAATGTTATGTTGCGATATAATAAAAAAATGATTAGAACTAAGTGAAATAATTATTTTACATTATTTCTCCGTAGCTTATATATTTTACATTCAATACACTATTTGATTGTTAATACGCGTTTTAAAATTAATAAATAGATGATTAAAACAGGATATTTTTTGAAATAATTATTGCTTAGCTAGTCATTTCGATAATTATCACGAAATATATATTAAACGTATATATTTACATACTATTTACAATAATGAATTATAAGATGCGATAATTTTTCTAATCATTATCACAGAAGAAAAACAAATAAAACATATATAAACAAATTTTCTATATTGAGCGAGGAGAGTCGATTACTAATACCAAATTTTTCTTATTTTTTTCTTTCTTTGAAAATATTACGCTATTGCAATATTCGAAAGTGTCGCATAAACAAGCAGTTATAAATTATTTTAACACAATTACGAATGCAAGATAGCGGATTATTGTTACAAGATACACGATACAAGCAACAAATCAGTACAGAAACGTTTAATTGAATAAATTAGAACTAGAAACTGTTGTATTATCTCCGCGAGAGAAACTCGAAAAAAATCCGAAATAAATTCGATAAATTTATTAATCGAATAAGTGATTTAATGAAATGACATTATTGCATCGATTCAGTTTTTTCTTTTGAAAAAAACTCTTTGCAATTATAATTCTGCTTCACGAGTTAATTATTTGCGAAAAGAACTTTACATATGTAATGGCCCCGCGAAATTGCTTTTATGGCGCGTGCCCGCGCGTGTGTTACACGCTACGATGCTGATTCAATTCTTTATCACTATTATGACATTCTGTTCCACATTAGATATTATAATACTCGAAAGAACGAATGTGTGCGTTTTTACTGACAAAATATCAATAAAAAGCAGAGATGAGCAATTGTCTTTTTATTCTTGTATTTGATTTACATATAAATAATAAAACAATTGATATAACAATGAAAAGTAACAAAACAAATCGTTATACGCGTTTTTAATCAATCACATAAATATTTAAGATAATTTTACAGTTTTATTATCATAATTATGTCTGTCAATTATTATCGTAGTCAATGCAACAAACTCAATAATGCACGTAAGATTATTTTTACAATTGCTCGTCTCTGACGAGATTACAAAGTTAGAACTGCATAATCAAGCCTTACGCACGTCGTAGATTATCGGTATTAACACTGTTGAGCATTTTATCGACATCATACATATTAAATATGATTTTTTTCGATTAACTACTGCGATGATAATTGGCAATTAGCATAGTACCGTTCGATTGTGCCACGTTCGATCGCAAACGCGTTACCGCAATTAATAGTCGACAGAAACGCTTGATAATACATCGCGATCGCCAATCGTCCATGTTGCAACAATCATTCGCACACGTTTACACATACATCCTTAAACATTAATTAATCCTAATTTTACACCGTCACCAACGACTGGCGCAAAATAACGACGCGATGATAATCGATGATTACTAAAAAAAATCGTATTATTATCAATTCTGTATGACTAGATTCTAGATTCGGGGTTTTCTTAAATATCATGGACACACAAACAGTCGAATATTCACACTAAAAGTCGATATTTACATAATGTTTTTTATCGAATGCGGTGAGACAATGGAAGAAACAAATGAAACACACGCTCGTCGGAACTGAATAAATAAGGTCAGAGAATCGTCGCCATCTTGGAAAGTGAGTTTTTCTATCTGTTTCTCCTTTATTCATCGCTTGACTGATCAAAGAAAGTCGACGTTCGCGTGTCGCTTATACAGAAACGAGAGCCGAAGATACGACGTTCCGCTGAAAAAGCGAGAAATGGAATAAATATTTGCCTAACAACAATTTATTCCTACATCTTGCTGGTGCACTATCTTGAATATCTATTTTTGTAAAAGAGAGTATCTCCGGATGAAGTCGTAACTGAAAGTAATTGCCTGCAAAAATAGACATTTTTTTTTGTTAAACGATATATATATATAAACGCGAAATATAATTTTCTATAATTTTTTTTGTCCGCTAAATCGAAATCCGACCTAGAAAAGTGCGTATCACATCAAGAAAATAAATGAGTGACATTTGAACATTTTATTCAGAAACTTCTCCACAATCGGAATAGTTTTTCAAAAATGATCTTTGATTAACTATAGTCGGAACTTGGAAATATCTTTCTCAATGTATTTTATGAACTCGTTTGTGATATGCGATTTGTCGTTCTGTGTGGGCAGGCAGAAATTGTCAGTTGGAAAAGACCTTGGACTGATTTAGGAATAGTCGTTTTCGTAAGATTGGCAAAGCATCTCTTCCGCAAAATGAGAACTGAAATAGGTGAGTGATTTTCAAAATAACACTGTAAATATAGTAAACATTTCTATTTTTGGCATTTCTTTTCTTTCATTTTCCCAAAATGCTAATGTAATACGCACTTTTTGTATTTCTAACAGATTTTGATTTTTAATACGTGTCTTGTATTTTTTTATACAGATTCAGATTCAACGCATAAAAAGTTACGGAAAACTATTCCTTTCCAAACATATCTATACGGAGCAGTGTTATCGGATTGATTACAAGTAGAATACAAGAAGAAGAATGAAAGAAAGATATAAAACTATATAATTGTAATTTATAATTATTTTTACAATCACTTTTGTAATTACAAGAATTAAGAATCACAATGTTGCATTCAGTACCGACAACGGCATTGATTGGTACGTAATCTCAATATTGTCTATATAAAAATTATAATTAAATAGCTTTAGTTAAATAGCTTTTGCTAAAGTTGCGTTAATAAAAACGTAACAGCGCACAGTTGATTTTGTATCTATAATACATTTAGCGATACTATAATAATACTGTCATGACTTGTCGGTACCAATTACGAAACGCGACGATTACGAAGAGCGACGATCAAGAGCCACTCAAATGTGCAAAAATTCTATCTACAACGATTACAGTCTCGAGAAGGCTTTTAATTATTTATTGAGCTAATTTTTAAAGTGCGCGGATGCCGATAAAATAAATCGTGGCACTTTCATTAACAATAAGCGTCGTTACAAATTTTAAATTTTGCTAAATATCAATATCGTGTCTCACGCATGGCTCTATTTTAGTTTTACACAATTAATATAACCATTATACAACGCAAATTAAAAAAATATAATTTATAAAAAATAAATATAATAATGTAACGATTAAAATAATCAATTTAAAGCCAATTCAGGTACTGCAGAACAATAATTTTATATATATATATATAAATAAAACTAATCGAATTCTTTTTAATCCTAAGAGAATAATCTTTTATAATTTTGGGGTATTCAGTACCGCGTAATTACCGCGTAGTTTAGTGCCATACTATACACTATCGTGTTCTCAGCTCATTTTTAACCGAAACTAAAAAAATAAAATGCACATAGGTCCCACTTAAAGATAGAATTTATCACGAGAAAAAAAACAATCGGGCATTTTTACGCTTATTCGTGATATAAAAGTATATGAATCCAGCGTAAATCGCCAATTAATATCAGATTGGCTAAAGTATTGTAAGTATTTGGACCTTCACATTTGGTGATTTTTTTATTGCAATAAATGAATTTTTATTTAATTAATTTCTCGAGACAACATAAACTTTTTACTTGCCAAATATAATTACAATTCTATAAGCCACGTAAGTAAAAAAATTCTCGAAATAATATACACATATGCATCATTAATACTGGCGATCAGTTTTCAAATGACGTATATATGCGTTAATACTTGAAGCGTTAAGTAGTTGCTTTTGGACATCAATACTCGGTAATGCAATCGATTGCTTTTTACCATAGTAAGGTACATATTAAATAACACAAATATACTACGTCATGTAATATTCGTGTAACACTTCAAACAGTTAGGTGAAACAATTCTTCGATTCAATGTAAGACTCGCTATAACGCAAATGAGAGCTAATCCTGTCGGTAACATCACGATCAAAGAGAAGCTGTTGGATTACGCCAGGAAATTACGATTTTTTTTTTTTTTCTTTTAATCTCGACCAAGGAAGTAGATGTATTGAGAGATACACAGGGCCAATTATCGCCTTGACTTCTCGAAGTTATATTCGTTCAGATATATTGTACTAGGATAACCGGAGCGGAACGTCTCCTCTCACGAAGTGCTCAATAACGTTCGCCATTCAGTCAGAACTTCCTTCGTTCCTCCGTGGGTACAATATTATTGATCCTCGCGCGAGGCACACAGACACACTTCTTCATTGGCTACGAAAACTTATTTAAAAATCTAACTTTGGCAATATACGACGATATTCTATGTATATACATACATGCCTTAAGCTTCGCGCATGTAAATCGTCACCGTGAGAAAAAACGGACGATCTCCTTTGACTTCTTTCATGCTCGGTTTTTTTTCTTTTTCTTTTTTTGTTTTCGTCAACGTAACGGAGAACGTTTCTCAGCGGGACAAATCCGTTATATGGATATGTGAGTGAGTAAATGTGCGCACGCGTGCATGTGTGTGATATGGATCCGTACACACACATGCACACGCATGTGCACGCGCAAAACGCACACACACACGCATACACGCACGCACGAACGCATACACACACATACAGAGACAGAGAGAGAGAGAGAGAGAGAGAGAGAGAGAGAGAGAGAGAGAGGAGGGAGGGAGGAGAGAGAGGAGGGAGGGGAGGGGGAGGG